AGAACATTAATATTACAAATATGTTTAAATTAAATGTTAAGCAGCTCTAACCTGTTTGCTACTTAAAAACCTACCGTGAACAGAGTAACTTTCAGATTTTTCTATGCTACACAACTGACCTGTTCTTCCCAGAATACGTAAATACCATGAAAACAAAAATGTTACCTTGCAACCTTTTGTCCCATTCATAGTTTTTTTTTGTCCTAATATTTCAGCTATGTTACATTTATCTCTAGTCCTAATGCCTAATACATACTTTCCAGACCTTTATTATACAGCTCCAGGTATTTTTTCCTTCTCAGTTTCAGATTAATTCCTTTGGGAAAAGGAGCTTTCCTATGACCAGTAACAGAACTTAGCACATGCCTGAATTATTCTGACATTTTGAAGCACTACTTTTGAGGTAGTTTTAGATTTTTTTGGCGGGTGGAGGGGGAAGAAAAAAAAAGAAGTCATATGCTTCTTATCTCTGCTTTCCACCACTTATGGTAAAAAGTTGCTTTAGGAGGCAAGAAAAATCAACATCATCTTTCCTATGCATTTATGCCACAGTGAAATGGGGCAATGGAAATGTGACATTCACTCCTGTGTATGCTATTGGTCTACAAGTCAAATCGCTTTTCTCAATTTCTTCAGTATAAATGGAGACTGTCATACTTCTAATCCTTCCAAACCACTTGGAAATGTAAAAATAAAAAAACATTCTAAAATGCTTAACGCTTCACTCTTAGACATCCATTGTTTCTCCTCAGCTAAGTAGCTGGAGACCATACTCTTACACAGTCCACTAATGCAATATTCACAGATTAGCCAAACTGCTCTTTCTTCCTCCTTGAAACTAAGCACCTAGTAATTCACGCTGCAGGTGCAGTGCATCTTTAAGACATCATCTAGTCTTTCTAAAACATTTAGATCACAGGAAAGCAAATCTACAGCACAAATCTTTCCAAACATGTGCCAATGGAGCCTGATGCATCTATTTCAGGCACTCTTTTACAGCAACAACGCTGACTAAAGCTTGAGAACAGACGAAAGAAGCTGACAAAACCTGGAAGCATTATTCAAAAAAAGCCCCAACCCCCAATGTGCCTTTCCCCCCATGGCCCCAAAAATACCAGGCAAGAGCATTCAGTGTGTTGTATTGTGACTGCAGAAAGCAGCCAACACAATCTGGTTATGCACCTTCAGAAGCTTCCGGCAAGCATTCAACAATTGCTGGGTTTTTTTTAATCAAAAAAAAACTAAGCAGTATAGAATCATCAGCTCTTAGTCATTAAGTGCTCAGGGAAAATTTTGAACATTAACACACACACATACAATATAGAACAATGTAGAAGAGGTAGGTTAAGAACCCCCATTCTCTTAGTTTATTTCAAAACCCAAAAGCTATGCAGTACTATGGCTTTGTTTGTCCTTGGGTGTAGGTACAATGAAATATACACAAAAAAACCTGAAAGATTGGGCAGCCATTAATAGACCCCAAAAATAACTGACTGACTGCTTGGGAATACAGCCATGAGGTTCTCCCAGCAAAAAAGCATTGATGAAAAAGGTGCCTAGTCACTAACGCACATAGACATTTTAGCTGAGCATCCAAATTTTAAGATGAGTTTTCTTCTCCCATTGTTATGCTTATGTTCAGTATAAATTTAATATGCTGGAGAAAGACAATAGCATACTGTCAAATGTATTAGTTTCTAAAACTGCATTTTTATGTTTTAATAAAAGCAGGCACAATAACCATTATTCTAAGCTAAAACTCCTTCCCTGAAGTTTCCTCTCAAAGTGCTTCTCTGAAGCTATTGACTGGTCCTCCTGCTCTGGAACACCGACTTGGATGTTCTAGACAGGAAAGGTACATAGTCTTTTTTTTTTTTCTGTTCAGTTAGAAATGCCAAAAAAATTATCTAAATGGAAAAATGTTGCCTTCAGATAATATAACCATCATTCATCCTGCTGCACAGCTGTGAACATTTCTAACATCATTTACTTTGCACATTAACATATTGTAGGTCCACTCACAGGTATTCAGTGAACAGTCATACTGAACTGGTTCTCATATGATGGTACGATTGCATTGTTAAAACAAATCTAGTATCTCCTGCACACAAAACAATATTCCAGCTACTTATCATAGAACCATAGAATCATAGAATCGTGAAGGTTGGAAAAGACCCTTAAGATCAAGTCCAACCGTTCACCTAACACTGCCAAGTCCATCTATACCATGTCCTCGAGCACCACATCTCTCCATTCTTTAAATACCTTCAGGGATGGAGACTCAACCACTTCCCTGGGTAGCCTGTTCCAATGCCTGACCACCCTTTCGGTGAAGAAGTTTTTCCTAACATCCAACCTAAACTTCCCCTGGCGCAGCTTGAGGTCATTTCCTCTCGTCCTGTTGCTTGTTACTAGGGAGAGACCGACCCCCACCTCGCTACAACCTCCTTTCAGGTAGCTGTAGAGAGCAATAAGGTCTGCCCTCAGCCTCCTCTTCTCCAGATTGAACAACACCAGCTCCCTCAGCTGCTCCTCATAAGACTTGTGCTCTAGACCCTTCACCAGCTTTGTTGCCCTTCTCCGGACACGCTCCAGCACCTCAATGTCCTTCTTGTAGTGAGGGGCCCAAAACTGAACACAGAACTCGAGGTGCGGCCTCACCAGTGCCAAGTACAGGGGCACTATCACCTCCCTGGTCCTGCTGGCCACACTATTCCTGATACAAGCCAGGATGCTATTGGCCTTCCTGGCCACCTGGGCACACTGCTGGCTCATGTTCAGGTGGCTGTCAACCAACACCCCCAGGTCCTTTTCAGTCAGGCAGCTCTCCAGCCACTCCTCCCCTAGCCTGTAGCGTTGCATGGGGTTGTTGTGACCCAAGGGCAGGACCTGGCACTTAGCCTTGTTGAACCTCATACAGTTGGCCCCGGCCCAACAATCCAGCCTGTCCAGGTCCCTCTGCAGGGCCTTCCTGCCCTCCAGCAGATCGACACTTCCACCCAACTTGGTGTCATCTGCAAACTTACTGACCACATTAAAGTGTATTAAACAATGAACTCCCTTCTTCCTGCTAGAATTCAGCTTGCTTTCCTACCAGATCAAAATAAAAATCTGATCTGTGCAGCAATGAAAAGGACTCTCATTTTAAGTATATATAAGAAACCACAACTTATTCAATTATCTAAAGTCATCCTAGACAAAGACTGAGAACTACAGATTGTTCCAAGGTTCATATCTTGATTCTTATCCAAAAGTTAAAAAGAACTTATATGTTGAATGAATATCTTTTAGATAGTATAAAACATAAATCAAAATCTTTCAAAGCCTAGTATGCAATGGTATAAAACATTAACACGCTGTAAATTTGGTAGCAGATTGGCCAATAATATAGCTGCAGGCAATCATACTCTCCAATTTGATAACATATCCTATTTTCTGTACAAGGATCTATCAAATTTATATATATCCTTGCTAGTTGTAATGCTTTAGACAGACAACAGCTAAAACACTTAAAGAAATTATAAATCTCAGCTTGTATAAAATGAGGCATTTCTGAACATAAACAGTTCCTATAATCCGGCTAATTCCTGCCCTCTGGTAAATTCCTCACATGATGACTTAGAAGTCTATAGTCTGCTGTACCCTGCCAATTTTACTCTCAGTACTAAGGCAAATCAAAAGAATACAAGCAAGAAGGAAAACATAGACTAATATTACTGTTCTGGTTTTGGCTGGGATAGAGTTAGTTTTCTTTGTAGTAGCTAGTATGAGGCTATGTTTTGGATTTGTTCTGAAAACAGTGTTGATAATTCAGGGATGTTTTTGTTACTGCTGAGCACTGCTTACACAGCGTCAAGGCCTTTTCTGCTCCTCACCCCACCGCACCAGCGAGTGGGCTGGGGGTGCATGGGACAGCTGACCCCAATTCACCAAAGGGCTATTCCACACCATATGACATCATGCTCAGCATATAAAGCTGGGGGAAGAAGGAGGAACGGAGGGACGTTGGGACTGATGGCATTTGTCTTCCCAAGTAACCGTTACACGTGACGGAGCCCTGCTTTCCTGCAGATGGCTGAACACCTGCCTGCCGATGGGAAGTAGTGAATGAATGCCTTGTTTTGCTTTGCTTGTGTGTGCGGCTTTTGCTTTACTTATTAAACTGTCTTTATCTCAACCCATGAGTTTTCTCCCTTTTACCCTTCCAATTCTCTCCCCCACCCCACCTGGGGGGAGTGAGTGAGCAGCTGTGTGGGGCTTAGTTGCCAGCTGGGGTTAAACCACGACACCAAAACAAACATTACAATGAGTGTTTGAAGTCTATCTTTTTAGCATCTTATTCAGAAATTTCATGCTTGGGCCAATTCTACTTGAACTCATCAGAAATTTTTCTTGTGACTTTAATAAGTGTTCAGTATTAGTAAAAAATCCCTTGTCACTTGCACTTTGAGTTACACAGGAAAAAATCTGAAGAAAATGATATTGCACGTTTCACCAAATATTAACTCTGCCTCTGCAGAACTGTTATTTCTACTGCTGATCCACAAGCCAGAAAGAATACAACTTGAACTTTAGAAACCAGTCAATATCTGCACTACTAGTATTCTAACTATTAAAAAATTCCTTAATTCCTTCTAAAGAATGTAAAAAGCTGAGAACTAAGGGAATGCTTCTTGTCTTTCAAGTTTCAAGACTACAGTCAAGTGGGACCCCCACAATGCTATACATAAGGATTTCTACTGACTGTAATTACTATCGCAATGGTATTGACTTAATGATTAACATTCTGTACTGCAAAACAGTTGGACTAGAAGCATAAAAAAATCCACAACTCATCCTGAGTAAAGAAAGATAATAATCAATTGGTACCTTAATAGAGAACAGAAATATAATTTTAATCTTAAAAAAGTATACAGCAAGCTATTGCAGTCAAATGACTACTTGTGCATTCTCATGCAAACTTGATCAGTATTCTCTCCCCATCTCTTGATGATTCTCACCTCTTCCTAATTTCTGAATCCACAAGGAGTTGCCTCTTTTTGTGGGGTGGAGGTGGTGGGAGTTCCTCTTTAGCATGCTTAACCAGGATTTGTTCTCTTGTGGTCACCATAGTTACAGTTTCCATTACAGTTGTCTGTGTTAGTGATGTCTGAGTGGTAGTGACAGCCTGCGAAATCTGTGAGAAGTATTAAAACAGAGGTCACACATTGTTTGAAAGACTTCAGTAAAGACTGTTTGGAGTAGCAATAGAAAATAATGAGAAACTGCTCCTGTCTGATCATAGGCTGACTTGCAGAAAAAAATAGCACTATATGCAACTCAAATCAAATTGTTTTATCTGACTCATGCTGTGTGAACAAGATATCTGCAGAAGCCAATATCAAAAGATCCTAAACAGAATGAACTTATGGCTCCCTCTGAATCATGCTGAATGAAGAAAAGAAATGAATGGCCAATTTTATGAGGGAATTGAATGATAGCAAATACATAAAATGTTACTATTGCTGTATGTTACTCTGCCTCCATTCTGATGATTTATTCCTTGAGAAGTAATAAAGGCATGGTAATGGCACTAAATAACCAATTGTTATTTTCACCATTTATAATAATTTTCAAACTAGAATGTAATTCATCACAACCTACTTGCACAAAAGGGCAGTTAGCTTTCTGTCAGGAAATCTTAAATTAGAAAACATGCACTAGAAAGCAAATTAATTTGCATCAGTGTTATTCCATAATTAAAAACTAATGTTAAGGCGTCATAACAGATACTAATACACATAATATGTAACACTGTAAACACTACCAATCTAATGCATTTGACTTTGCCTAGTAATAGGAAAACAAACCCTTCATATAGTTCAGCTGCATAAAAAAAATAAAAAGGAATGATGAGTGTGAGAAATATTTTCTTCTCATATTTTTTTTGAAAGATAATGGTTGTACTTGCCCTGCCCATTTATATTTGTTTCTATATAACACCAAACTACAAACTTCCCACTTAAACATGGGCAGCTGTTCTTAAGTCCCTTAACTCATGAGAAATAGGTCACTTCGTTTTTTGGTTCTGTCAGGTGATAGCTCATTTGCCAAAATGCTCTAGTTACAGCTCCAGTGACCACCTCACAGTTTAGGGGCCGTGAAATGGAAAATAAAAGGAAGAAGTTATACCAGGAGCCAGAAAAGCTGTGCTGCAGGAAAAATAGAAGAGCCTTGCTTCTTTGTTTATTGCCAATGTGCAAGAATTAGAAAGACTTTCCAATTCAGTGACAGGAATGCTACATAAACAATCTATTAGTTCTTGCATCAGAAACTCCGTAAGAGTACTGAGTTACCTTAGTTATTGAGACATTAGTGTTTCTATAAACAATCGAAAAGAAACGTACCAGGTAATTAACTACAAATTCCTTTCCCACAATACTTTCTTATATTGAAAAAATAGAGTGAGAAGGAAAGGGCTATACTGTTAGCAACCCACCTCTTCTCAGCAGGCAACACCAAAAAAGCTAAAAAAACCTTGAAAAAAACCAAGTTTCTGCCAAAATTGCCATATCTGTCACATGGTCTTCAAAACAAAAAAGTGTTCTTGCTCTTTGTCCAGTCTGCCAGTAAAAGTGATGAGTAGGAAAGTCCATCACCACTGTAATTTTGGCAGTCTTTCTTAAGGCAGTCAGCTCAGCGCTATGCTTCCCCCTCTAGAAATGACCAGCTGTCTAGGCTTTACAGTAGAATCTGGACTACTCAGAAGACTCAGAATTTTGTAAAATTAAGATTCAAAGCAGAATTTTTTTTTAATCTCTGGATTAATTATGTCAATTGGAGTAAGCTGCTTGTGAATTGCAGGGATTTAACTAACATATGAACTACATAACTTTTTGGAAGACAAAAACACCCAGTTGACTTTTTAATCATTACAATATTATGTATTAATACTCTTGTTTTAGTTCCCTCAACAAGGTGTATTGACTTTGATATTTTCAACTACAGAAATCATGACAATAATAATGAAATGTTTCCATATAGTTTTACTAAAATTTTATACAGTGTTCTTTTCAATTTTGTTTTTAATTAATTTTATTTTGGGGCAGAAAGGAAAAGCAAATTAAAGCTTCTGGGGTCTAGGGTTCTATGAAATTTGAGGATAACACCTGATGTCATCTTTCCTTGGGTTGACTCTGTAGCTAAGGACATTCCAAATAATTGCCTGCTTCTTATATACAGTTTTGGGTATAGTCTCCCTTTCCTCTTCTCACAAAATTCTTATTACACTCGGTTTTATCAAAAAATCAATTACAGGATGATGTTTCTGACACCCAAGGTCATATCCTGTCATGTTTCCATTTGCCAATCAATACCAGGGTACAGTTTACAGAGAAGGTGTAAAACAGAATAAACCACAGCTAGGGCACTGTAGGAGTCATCTGCAGCATACTACCAATTTTACAGGAGTAATAGTTTCAGCTGGTGACTGGGAACAGTGCTTCAAAAGCAGGCAGTGCAATTATCATATGCTCAGAGCAGTCAAGTCACAATGCTGTGGGGGGTAATGATTTACATGTCAAAACAGTAAAGAAGTATTTTTCATGCTTAATCAATAGGAGTGGAGGTTAAAGACTATATACTTCAAAAGGAGAATGGAGATGTGAATTTCATGTTCATAATCATTCTAATTAGAGTCTAGGTAAGACTAAAAGGTACTGAAGATTACACTGCAGTGTAACTGTGCAAGATGAAACTGGTTCACATTTAAAGAGTGCACACTCTTTAGAGGGTAAGGGAAATTCCTTAAAATTCAAGGTATTACTAAAAAGGAAGTAGCTTTTATTAGCTTCCCTGGCAAAAACAAAACAAAACAAACCACAACAAAAAACAAGACACCTCTTAAATCTAATAACTGGTGTGTTTAATGTATTATTCAAAGACGGTCCAAATAATGACAGTATAGTTTCCTCATCCCTCTAAGTTCCTGACAAACAAATATGAATCTGAAAAGAGGCGAAACAGTCTAGGCCTTTAACCCACCAGAAAATCATATGGAAAGTACTAAGGTAATGCACGAGGCTGCACATTAAAAGGCTTTCAAAATACAATGCTTGTCTGCAGTTTCACATCAGCAAGCTCATCTCGGAAACATGTTAAACCTCATCTCTTTTCAGAGTGGACAAATTTAAATCTTCCTTTTCATCCTCTACAGGCAAACATATGTACAATGTGTGTTTAGCACTTCAGTAGTTTTATGGCATTTTATTTCTCTTTTATACGGCAGCCTACCTTTAATGCCATCATTTATTACTGCCTTTGGAAGTGCCCTCAGTCCTGATAAACTCATAATTTTCCTTAACACTCACTTTTGGAGCTGTCATCTGTTCTTTGATGAAATGTATGTATGTGAATGGGGAAGTTCAGATGAGGAATGGTGTTTTCTTTAGTTTGGGAAGGTTTTCAGTACAATTTAGTGAAGCATAATGAACTCACCAAAGGTGGATTTAGAGTTTCTAAAAGTTAGGCATCTACTCTAAGCAAGTTGTCCTTGTCCTTGTTTCCACTGCATCATCAAGAAAGGAAAGTTGACATTTTCATGATGAGGACAAACTGCTTTCTAAAAGGTCTCTCTCACCCTTGTCATCCACTCATTTGCAGCAGAAGCTTCAAACATGAGTTCAGATTAGATGTTTAAATTCAGCAGCAATGAATTCAGCTAACTGTGGGAGACTCACATTCTAGTTTCTGCACTTTTCCTTTGGGATATAAACTGCTTCCTATGTCTAGCTGGAGAATCAGCTTTGAACTGAGGCTGAGGGTATCTCTTCTATTTAATTTCTTATTTTGTTAACAAGCTAATCAGTTAGTGACACTTAGTAAGAGAGGGAGAGGAAATAACTAATGACAGAATGTAAGTATGAAGGTACTATGAGAATTATTAATGAATGGAATAAAGTTGATTTTGAAGACAATATCTAAGTTTGGGAAAAAAAAGTTCATTTTCTGCTATATTTTAGTGACGAAATGCTGTATTTGTCACTCTCTTCCAACTCCCCTCCTCCCCAGTTCATGATTAGAGAGAATAATTAGATCTTTTAGAGGCATTTTTTCTTGCAGTCTAAATGTGCTCTGTAATGAATATATGTATAAATCCCACTAACATTATCTGCCCTGCCTAGATAGAAACACATGGCAAAAAGTACACCAGCAGTATTTCACAAAGGACACACCTAAACTGTGTAACAGTGCCTTAGGAAGCAGTCCTTCAGTTAGCACTGAATGTGCAATGTCTCCAGAATTTGAAGCAATATGCCCACAACAGCATACCAATTCTGTGCCAAGCAAAGTAGCTTCTCCTTGGAGGAAAAGCTTATCAGCTGAAGTGTACTGCTATGATAAGACAGTTACATTGTTTTGGGAATTCAAACCATCTCCCACCTGTGCTGCTTTATGATGTGTGGATGTACAGCCTCAGGATTGCTCACTTCATGAGGAAGCTATCTTTTCTGTAATCTAAGTTCCGTTTTCAAAACTAGTATCTCCTTTTAGGATCAATCAACAATCTAAATAACTCTTGAACACTTTAGAGTGACTTACTAACTTCTTCAAATCATGTGACCCTAGCCATCCCAAATTAAAAATGCATCTCTGGATTTTCCTCTGCATTGAAACAACAGGTTTCCTACAGCAAATATACAAGAGTTAAATTTGCAACTGTTATAAATGCTGTGTAACACAAACTGGTTTTGCCTTCTATTACTAAATGAAGTTGTATCCTTTCCCCATTTTCTTCTCTTCTGTTTTCCAAAACTGATTTTTCCAGCTTCAGCTACACAAGAAACTGTATCAAAGAGCAAACTAAAAGATTAAGGTATGAGTTGGAAGCAAGGTTACTCAGAGTTATTCAGTTCACTACAGGAAGCACAGCAGCTTTCATGTAAGTACCCAAACAAAAGTTCGTAGAAGCATTAGTATAGAGCAATAAAAAAGTGACGGTCAAGGGAACTGAATCAAACTGGCCAGAACGATGAGAGGTTCACCTCTGAGAGGACAGAGATGCATGCAGTAATAACATTCTGCTGTGTGTTATTAAAAAGTCTTAATGTCCATTTCCATTTCACCAGTCATGCAACGATAGCACAAAAATAACTCAATATTAATGAGATGATGAAAGGGAAAAAAGTGAGCTGATTTGGGTTTAAATCCAATAAAAAAAGAGATGCTGGCAGATGGCTAGGAAAAATAAATGGATATGTTTCCAATACTACACCAGAACACTGATTTTTGTTCTACACCAGAACACTGATTTTTGTTACCTGGTTTAAAAAATGTGAAACTTTAAAACCTCAATTTCATTTTTAATATATTATGGTTAACATAAAGGAGCTGGGCAAAATAATAGTGGATTATAGTCTTTTTTCACTGGCATTTTGGCTACAGGTATGGATTGATTTCTTTATTTTTCCAAGAGACTTCTCTTTTTATGGACTCTCCTTTTAATCTGTAAATCAGCATAACATAAGCAGAAGTAAAACAGTAATCTATTGTAAACTTTCACTGTTGAAAAGAAATAAAAATAATTTGTCTTTAACTAGCAAACAGTTCTTACACTAATTTCAGACTAAATGCTATTCCACAGAGACAGCCATAAAAACAGTGCATTTGAAGTGACCAACTATTATAGGTTAAAAATAAATTAACTGGAAGGAATATTTTCATTATGGATTGCATCATCCCTGAAAACATGGTTAACAACCCAAGAAAGGAATCAACGTTATAAAGAGAGACCAAAAACTAAAGAAAGAAATAAAATTCCAGAACGTTATATTACAGTTGTATTATGTTGTCCTAAAAATAAAATAAGTCTTAAGCCATCATGCTGGAAAAAAAATTTAAACAATATGACAAACAGCACCAAGACTACTTCGAGCATTTGACTGGTAAAGGATTTGACTGTCATCAATTAGCAAAATGATCGTTTTAACAAACCTGTTTAGAATTGCTCTCCACCTTCTGCACGAGGCTATCCCAGCGCTGGGCAAAATTTTCAAGACGACTTTCCAGCTTTTGAGCCACTGCTTTATTTTTCACAGCTACAAGGAGGTCTTGGCTGAGCGACTTCAGCTTACTCATCATTTGCCTTTTCATTTCTAGATCTCCTTTTAGGATCTGTTAAACAAAGTAACAGCAGGAAGAACAGTAATTCATATGGGGGGGAATACAACAAACTTAGAAAAATCCTAAAGAAAGCATCATAAAGAACCGAAAATGGGTAAGGTTTCATACAAACTTCTATACTTCCATGCTGTTGTTATTGTAAAAACTGCTGGCAGAGCTGACATAGTGGAATGGACACATTGCACTTCACAAAGCAATATAACATGACAGGTGGAGCAACTCCAGACATCACAGCATGCCTTCGGTGGCAACATAAATCAAAAAGCTAACAGCTGTGTGACATTAATAACCTTAAAACTGCACTAACATTAACAACTATATCAACATTTCAAACAACATTTCTTTAAAGTTTTCCTGTACTTTGTCACATATTGCATATTAAAACTCACTGAGAAAAAAACATTTTCTAGAAAAATAATATTTGACCCCAAATCAGGATGAAAAAAAAGAAACCTCAAAGAAAATAAGTATGGTTTTAGCAGTATGAAGAATGATGTATTTCTCATCTTCCTCGGGTCTCGACAGGCTGTGGTTACATGGCAGTAGCCTCCCAGGGAATGGGGAAGCCTTGGGAACCCCTGGAGCTCTGCTGAGCGTGCCAAGGAAAGGGCCCTGCAGCTGGGAGCCTGGAAACTCTCATGTACAACCTCTGTGCTCTGCAAGCCACCATACAGCTTGAACCCATGGATGCTAATGGAAAAGGAGAAATCGTCAGTCTTCACATCTCCACTACAGTAAACTGCGAAGGGATCTTGAAACTCCTGAGATCTATAGATGCAAACCTCTCAAAGAGGTAGGCTCTTCACAGATCCACAAGTCATCCATACCTCCAGTTCTCACCTTGGTTTATTTTTTAATGCCTCTGTTGGTTTACGCCATTGATTTTTATACCTTAAGCATTCATTCTCTACACCCTAATCTGTGCTAATCACGGCCAAATTTTGAACTCTCTATGCATCTGAGGATTGCAATCTAATCCCCAAGGCATTAAAGGGACAATTAAACAAATATTTAGACAACAGAATTTAGTCTACATATACTTTCCTGTAGCCGTATCATCCAAAATTCTAATCTAAAATACAGCTCAGTAAAAGAAAGATTCGTAGTTTTTGTAATCAGTACTCTTCATTCAGATGTGGTTTGAAACATCATAATTACTAATGCTACATAAAGTTAACATGAAAATTTAAATTGACATGTCCCTAAGAAATAGCAGCTAACACACTTTATATTTAAGAATCTGTTTGTATAGCAGCGGATCTACCAGAGGGAGCAGACTAGATGTAAAACAATTTACCGTCTTAAAATTTCAAGGATTCCTATATTTGACTTTTTTTTTTTTTTTTTTTTTTGCCTACAGTGTCAGAAAAAGCTCACGTGAAAGCCACCACATACACCGACTGAAATAATCAAAAACGGTACCCTATGAAACACGATTAGTGAGTTTGGAACAGCAGTGCTTTATTTCCAACCTCCACAGCTGACAACAGCTGTATAATACACAAATGAGTTCAGCATCAATCCCAGATACATGGAGCACAACCAGTAAGTGAAACACTAGACAGAGAAGGATGCTAAAACTTTCTGTGTCAGAGGTACCGCTCACTGCTACCTAATACACTTTTGTGATAGCTGCAGTTAACCTGTAAAAATATATTGGGGGATTCTGTTTTCACATTTCCTTACTGAAAACCTGTCAATGTGCTACAGTAACCAATAATATGCTCTAGTTTTGTTTTTTTCTGGTACAAGAATAGACTTAAAATACTAATGAGCTAGCAACAAAATACGTAATTTACCAATCTGCAGGAGAATAAATGGTAGTTTGCTTTATGAAATTAATTATCAAATAACTCAGTCATAACTTCTGTCAAGTGTATATTGTAAACTCCAATATTTTAACATTATCAAGTGGTTTCCTTATTTGTTGGTAATATGCTTCTACTAGTTGTTTTTTGTCTTCAAGTTTTTAATGATTGCTGTTTTTCTTTTCCTTAAACATCACCAGAAACTTTCTTTGCTCATTGTAATATTCTAATCAGCAACACCTGCTGTAAATTGTTCGGCTGCTAAGGATCTGTTCCAGTAAAAAATGGTGTAATATCTAATTTCTCTCTTCTAATAAGTAAAGACATTTGCATTAAATGAAGCAAGAGAAGATTTAACTCTATATTAATGGAATATTTACTATAAATATATAGACCTAGATCTTGAATACCTTTGCAGTACATCTCAACGTGTTTTATGAAAAAGAGGAATACCATCACCTTCCTTTTACAGGCTGCAAAGCTTAGGCACAGGACATGAAAACAACCTATCAAGTCTGTGCCATAAATGACAGTAAAATTTCACCTCAGTCTGTCCACTTATGTTCTGTATTCTCAGTGCATCATATCCTCCAGCTTAGTCCATGCTCTATGTCACCCTTTGCCTTGTGTGAGAATTCAGAGACAATTATAGTGACAGTGAATAAATGGTAGGTGGAAGATTAAAACAAAAAAAACCAAACCAGTTGTTCTGTGGAAATATTTTTAGAACTAGAGCAATTACCCATCAACATCAGAAAAAAAATGAAGTCAGTATTAATACATGCACAAAGTAGTAAAGCCTAAACAGTTTTTCTGACCTTTAGACTAAGCAGACCCCAGAAGAGAATTAATGACAAAGGAGATAAATTTTCACATACAAATACAAATGAGTCCTCTGAAACAAGCCATTTGAGATTATTAGAACACAAAAATTTCTTGCAAAACCAGTTTTATCTGAACAAAAATTCTTACAAATATATATTATGGGTACAGTATATAAATTAAGAAGAAATCTAATTGACTTGATATCAATTTTAACACAACAGAACTAGCTGAATTCCTACACCAAACAAAAATATATTTTACCCATTCATTTCAATAACAATGAAAATGTGACTGCTAAAGCTGAGGGAAAAAGAAGGACAGCATCTGTACTGGGTTTACATGGCAAGATTTTGGCAGCGGGGGGCCGCAAGGGTGGCTTCTGTGAGAAGACACCAGGGGCTGCCCCCATGTCGGATAGAACCACTTCCAAATGGCTCCAAAACAGACCCACCGATGCCCAAAGGTGAGCCCATCAGTAACTCCGGTAGTGCCTCTGTGAAAATATCATTAAGAAAGGGTAATAAATGCTGCGCAGCAGCTCTGAGAGGAGTGAGAAAAACGTGAGGGCAACAGCCCTGCAGACACTGAGGTCAGAAAAGAAGGAGGGGGAGGAGGTGCTCCAGAAGCTGGAGCAGAGATTCCCCTGCAGCCTGTGGTGAAGACCATGGTCATGCAGGTTGTCCCTCTGCAGCCCATAGAGGACCCCATGCTGGAACAGGTGGATGTGCCTGAAGGAAGCTGTGACCCTGTGGAGAGCCCATGCTGGAGCAGGTTCCTGGCAGGCGCTGAGGCCCCATGGAGAGGAGCCCATGCTGGAGCAGGCTCCTGGCAGGAGCTATGGCCCTGTGGGGGACCCAAACTGGAGCAGTCTGTTCCTGAAGGACTGCACCCCATGGAAAGGACCCATGCTGGAGCAGTTTGTGAAGAACTGCAGCCTGTGGGAAGGACACAGGTTGCAGCAGTTTGTGGAGGACTGTCTCCCGTGGGTGGGACTCCATGCTGGAGCAGGGAAACAGTGTGAAGAGGAAGTTGCAGCAGAGACAATGTGTTACGAACTGACTGCAGCCCCCATTCCCCGTCCCCATGTGCCACTCAGGCAGAGGAGGTAGAGAAGTCGGAAGTGAAGTTGAGCCCAGGACGAAGGGAGGGATAGAGGGGAAGGTGTTTTAAGATTGTTCTTATTTTTCATCATGCTACTCTGATTTGGTTGGCAATAAATTAAATTAATCTTCCCCAAGTTGAGTCTGTTTTGCCTGCAACAGTAATTGGTGAGTGATCTCCCTGTCCTCATCTTGACCAATGAGCTTTTAATCTTATTTTCTGCCCCAGCCTTGCTGAGGAAGGGGAGTGAGAGAGTGCAACTCATGGCCAGCCAAGGCTAACCCACCACAGCATCATAATCTTTGGGACATCCTGAATCTGTTAGATTTCAAAACATTTTGTCTTCCACTGCAGAGTGTATCCCAGCCTCCATACATTAGAGTATTCTGACACCAAATTGAATATCAAAGTTTAATTCACATAGTTTTATCTAAAATGTTTTAACTTGCCTCTTTCTCCCAGTTTGGGAGAATCACATCTGAGAAAGAATCTACAGAGAACTACTATTTGTTAATAGTGCTGAGTCTGCAGTCAAATCATTAGAAATGATTAAATTTGGGGGAAATATGTGCTTGTTTATATTAAGACAAATAATCAGAATTTGGGCTGCAAAAATCTTCCAGCAATCCTAAAACAGGAATCCATGTATGGAGATTCTAGTTCAGGAACAATCTCAATCTTTCTGCTTACTCAAAATCTTTATTACTGTCTGAAAATATATGCATACCTACTACCAGTTTAACAAATGTTGGTAAAATGAAAGCTTACTTTTAAGCAGTAACAGTGCTTACTATCAGAAATCCTGTCTTAACTAAAATTAACAGTGTATTTCCTCCCACTGGAGAAACATGAGATAAAATTACTGTGGAGAAGACACTGATGTATTTCTGCATCAGCAAGCAGTAGTTAAATCATGATTTCTTCAGAAGTATCCTGAACTGCAAATATGTGTGAAAACTACCAGCTGCTCTTTCTTATTTCACCTTATACTTGTTACTATGTGATGTAATGATTAATGTGATGTAGAGTCAACATTTTTTTCGTACTGTGAACAGCATCTCAACAGACCTATTTCACTTCAGGCACTTTAGAAGGCTTAGGACCTTGTAGGAGGGTTGTAGAATTTCAAATGAACAGTCATAATGCTAAATGGTTTAATAAAATACCTTCAGAAATTTCCTTCAGGCTTAAGAGACTGAAATCTGGCTCAAGAACATGACCTTAATCTTGCCAAGTTGTGCATATAAGAGACAGGAAAAAGGCTGGAAGCTCTTATGCCATATCATGATATCAAACTTAAAATTCTTAAGATCTAACAGGACAAACTAATACTGTAATTTCCTGCTGGAAGTGATTAGATAACTGAGGAACTGAGCTACCATTTGTTAAGAATATAAACATTTTAATATCAGTAAAAGAATGTATGTTTATTGCCTCACACACTCACCTTTACAATTCTGGAACAAGCTGGCCTAATTATAAAGGCGATTTTTCATGACAGCTTCTCCTTTACTACATCTGAACACATCTCTATGGCCAAAATAACATATGCCAAAAGAGAGGCATGATTTGCATGTCTGGGTCAGGATACCATGACCTCATTTTTCCCTATTTCCAAAAGCCAGTCCAAGACTGGAAGAATATATTCCCTGAGAAGAATTTTCATGTGGGTAATGCATTAATACAAATTCCTCATGGTTCACAGAAGTCTAAAATAGTAAATCTTCATCCACAAAACTGACAATTTGGCATTGTGTGAAGGTAAAAATACATACTCACTGGAATTTGGAGATGACTGCTACTAGGTCTAAAACCAGACAGAGGAATTAAAAAAAAAAATTGAAAATATTGAAAGTTGAAAATATTTTGCTGCTACAAATCAAAGAGACTAGAGAGGCAGTGTTTCTTCAGCATACCATCAACATTTAAATATCTAAACTATTGCATTATGGATCAGCTGTTTCTAAAAACATCAAAGTTATTCATGTGCTAAAAAGATTAAGTTGCTATTAATAAACCCCGCCTGTTTTGTCAAGGATGACATGATTATTGTTGAGGTTCAGGGGGATGGAAGAATCACTTTACTCACTCTGGTGTTCAAACATTCAGTTTTATGAAAGACTGTCAATGCTTTCATGAGAGTAATGCTTAACAATTTAAGCTGGCAACATAATTAACTTCATAAGAGTGTGTATTTATTTCATTAACCAAATTTATGAAAATACTACTAAAGGAAAGTATTTCCTTCTTAACATCTTATTTCCAAGCAATTCTGAAAAGTACCTAAACTGGTCTTATCCTTAACGCTTTCAAACCATTAATAGCTTGCTACTTCACAATTTGTGATAAACATTTCAACCTCCAGTTCCTATCTCCTCCAGCAACTTTCTGAAATCCACAAGTAATAATTTATTGAATTGAATAAATCTGATTTTCTTCCCATAATTTTTTCTTCATGAAGGTACTGTAAAGCATCCTGATTTGCCTCTAATTCATTATGCATTAATAAAAGCCTGGCTTGAATTCAACTTCAAGACTGCTTGCCCATTAGATTACTAGAATTTCAACCACCCCAACTAGACTTCAACCACCCCAATATCTGCTGGAAAAGTAGCACAGCAAGCTGTAGGAAATCCAGGAGATTCCTGGAATGCATTGAGGATAACTTCTTAAGCCAGGTAATAGACAGCCCTACCAGAGGGGATGCAATACTGGACCTGTTGGTCACCAACACAAGTGAGCTAATTGGTGACGTCAAGATTGGAGGCAGCCTGGGCCTACAGTGATCATGCACTGGTGGAGTTCACAGTAATGAGGGATAAGGATCAGGTGAAGAGTAAAGCCAGGACCCTGAATTTTAGGAAAACAGACTTCCAGCTGTTCAAGGAATTAGTTAATAGGACCCCTTGCGAAACTGCCCTCATGGACAAGGGAGCAGAACAGAGCTGAGAGATCTTTAAAGACACTTTCCATAGAGCGCAAGAGCTCTCGATCCCCAAGTGTAAGAAATCAGGAAAGGAAGGCAAGAGACCAGCACGGATGAGTCGAGACCTGCTGGTCAAACTAAAGGGCAGGAAGTAAATGCACAGGCAGTGGAAGCAGGGACAGGCATCCTGGGAAGAGTATAGGGATGCTGCCTGGTTGTCTAGGGATGGGGTCAGGAAGGCCAAGGCGTGGGTGGAGCTGAACTTGGCAAGGAACGCAAAGAATAGCAAGAAGGGCGTCTACAGGTGTGTCAGCCAGAAAAGGAAGGTCAAAGAGAGTGTATCCCTCCTGATGAACAAGACTGGCAAACTGGTAACAACAGACGAGGAGAAGGTCTAAACAACTGAGAGGTACTGAACAACAACTTTGCCTCAGTCTTCACTGGCAACCTCTCTTCCCACACCTCTCGAGTGGATGGACCACAAGGCAGGGACTGGGAGAGAAAAGTCCCTTCCACTGTAAGAGAAGATCAGGTTCGTGACTACCTGAAGGAACCTGAACATACATAAGTCTATAGGACCTGGTAAGATGCATCCCAGAGTCCTGAGGGAATTGGCCGATGTTGTTGCCAAGCCACTCTTCATAATATTCAAAAAGTCATGGCACTCAGGTGAAGTCCCCGGGGACTGGAAAAAGGGAAACATTGCACCCATTTTTAAAAAGGGTAGAAAGGAGGACCCTGGGAACTACCAACTTGTCAGCCTCACCTCTGTGCCTGGGAAGATCATGGAACAGATCCTCCTAGAACCTATGCTAAGGCACATGGAGGACACGGAGGTGATTTGAGACAGCCAACATGGCTTCACCAAGGGCAAATCCTGCTTGATCAGCCTCATGGTGTTCTATGATGGAGTGACTACATCAGTGGGCAAGGGAAGAGCTACAGATGTCATCTACCTGGACTTCTGTAAGGCCTTTGGCATGGTCCCCTGCAACATCCTTCTGTCTAAATTGGAGAGATACGGATTTGGTGGGTGGACTGTTTGGTGGATGAGGAATTGGTTGGATGGTCGCATCTAGAGATTGGTGACAAGTGGTGTCCCTCAGGGGTCCGTATTGGGACCACTACTGTTTAATATCTTCATCAGTTACACAGATAGCGGGATTGAGTCCACCCTCAGCAAGTTTGCAGATGACACTAAGGTGAGTGGTGCGGTTGACACGCCTGAAGGATGGGATTGCCATCCAGAAGGATCTGGACAAGCTGGAGAAATGAGCCCATGTGAACATCATGAGGTTCAAAAAGGCCAAGTGAAAAGTCTTGCACCTGGGTCGAGGTAACCCCCAGTATCAATACAGGCTGGGGGATGAAGGGATTGAAAGCAGCCCTGAGGAGAAGGACTTGGGGGTGCTGGTGGATGAAAAGCTGGACATGAGCCGGCAATGTTCTCTCGCAGCCAAGAAAGCCAACCGTATCCTGGGCTGCATCAAAAGAAGCATGGCCAGCAGGTCGAGGAAGGTGATTCTGACCCTCTGTTGGAGTGGGTCCAGAGAAGGGCCACAAAAATGGTCAGAGGGATGGAACACTCTCCTGTGAGGAAAGGCTGAGAGAGCTGGGGTTGTTCAGTCTGGAGAAGAGAAGGCTGTGGGGAGACCTTATTGCAGCCTTTCAATACTTAAAGGGGGCTTATAAGAAACCTGGGAACAAACTTTTTAGCAGGGCCTGTTGTAATAGGACAAGGGGTAATGGTTTTAAACTAAAAGAGGGTAGATTTAGAATAGATATAAGGAAGAAATTTTTTACAATGAGGGTGGTGAAACACTGGAACAGGTTGCCCAGAGAGGTGGTAGATGCCCCGTCCCTGGAAACATTCAAGGTCAGGTTGGACAGGGCTCTG